ACGCAAAAGAGAAAGCTGCTTTCTCCACGCCAGAGGGTCTCTTTCAATATACCATCCTCCCATTCAGTCTGCATGGGGCCACAGCTACCTTTCAGCACCTCTGGATAAGCTATTGCGCCCCCATGCCAGTTACGCGGCCGCCTACCTGGACAATGTGTTTATTCATACACCTGGAAAAGGTGGAAGCTGTCCTAGATACCCTAAGGCGCGCTGGCCTTACCGCAAACCGCGCCAAGTGCGCCACAGGGTTAACGGAGGCTAAATATCTGGGCTACATTGTGGGACGAGACATAGTAAAACCCCAACTCAAACTACAGGCCATCCAAAACTGGCCCCGACCGGTTCGCAAGAAACAAGTCTGGGTATTTTTGGGGGTAGTGGGGTACTACCATTGCTTTATTTCCCCATTTTGCCACCAGGGAAACTCGGGGACCTGGACTGACACAGCAGAGAGGGCATTTATAGCTCTGCGGACAGCCCTCTGTGGTGACCCTGTACTCAGAGCCCCAGACTTCACTAAGGGGTTCATCCTTCAGACAGATGCATCCAAAGTAGGACTGGGGGCTGTCCTATCCCAGATGGTTGGAGAAGAAGAACACCCGAACCTCTACTTCAGTAGGAAACTCTTCCCAAGGGAACAGAAATATGCGGTGGTCAAGAGAGAATGCTTCACCATTAAGTGAGCCATGGAAACACTGCGCTACTACCTGCTAAGGGGGCAGTTTGTCCTCGTGACGGACCATGCCCCTCTTTTGTGGATGCAGCGGAACAAGGAAAAAATGCGAGAGTGACCAGATGGTTCTTATCCCCCCAACCCTTTCAGTTCCAATACAGCACAGAGACGGAAGTCACCACGGCAACGCGGATGGCCTGTCACAGGTGCATTGCATGACAACCCAAGTTTGCCCAACCCCTTCGTGTTGAGCAGGGGGATGGATATGTGACGGACTCAAACCAGAAGGATATAAGAGAGTGGTGGAAGGAGGGATCTCAACCTCAAGCCAAACAAAGGCTACTCCAGGCCAATTAAGACACCTGATGCCAATTAACCAGTTAAGGCCGTTAGGCTAATGGAGACAGCTGGAACCAATCAAAGTCCCACTCATACTGCTTAAAAGCTCTCCTTCCAGTTCCCTCAGGGGAGCCCAGGTGAAAGGAGCTGGAGGAGAGGAAGCATTGCTGAAGCAAGGGTGAAGCTAGAAAAAGGGGACCACGGGGAAGTGGCCCAGGGAATCAAAGCAGCTCCAGTGGTGAAGGGGAAGCCGCCAACAGCTACTAATGTTAGGGTCCCTGGGCTGGAACCCGGAGTAGAGGGTGGGCCTGCTCTACAGAGACCCCTTTGAGAGGGGAAGCAGACCTTGGTCCAGACAAGAGGCTCAACTGCGCCTACTAGCTCAAAGGAGCAACAGAGACTTTGGGGTATCTCCCCTTCCCACCTCCCATACAGGCCTGTGATGAAAGTAGCTCGATAAGCTGTGACCCTTGCCGCTACACTGAGAAAGGGTGGTCACACTGAGGACCTTAGCAAGCTTCTGAGGCCACTGAATCTGCCCGGAAGCCACCAATACAGGCTCTGTTCTTTGTCACACAACTTACCACAAAACTTGAAAGCTAGGCCCTCCCAGCTGCTGTTCTGCCATAACCAGGAGCTAAACCAAGGGGAAATGGGGACAGAGAACTCCATTCTTCCTTATCTTGGATGGATTGCTATCTCCACATCTCCCCCACCTCCTTGGCTCATAAGGCAAGTGCTCCCCTGCCCTTTCAATCTACATTAACTGGCCATACCGATTTATGGAATACAAATGATCTCAACACAGAATTCACAAACTCCAGAGAAAGGGAGTGTAGCATGGAAATATTAGAGGAGATGCGGGACATAACATATTAAGAACGCTACCATGGAAAAACCAGATTAGTTATGAAAGAAACTGTTATTAAGTTAGTGTTTCTTTAAGTGGCAGTAATTACCTATCAGTAAAGTCTGCACCTCGCTGTGGCAAAGTATGTTCCACAGATATTTAGGGATATGGGGCCATTTGCAAATGATTGCATCTGGCAGTACTGTCTTGCCAGGATATAAAGATATTAACTTTGTGATGTTATATCATGTCACCATGTTGCAATTATTTTAGTCTACAAAATATCAATAGTAAGTTAGAACCCCAAGTCTAATTAAACTGAAAATTCTGTCACAACCTTAGCTGTTAACAAGAGCCAACAGATCGGTACCTCTTGCTCAGCCATATCCAACCCTTCCTGAGGGAATAGCCCTGAAAATTTTCAGAAAACAGTACATGCCAGTAGTAAGAAAAGGAAACTAAGAGTAGAGACTTTGGATTCTATTCCTGGCTCTGCTGCTAAGATTCAGGTGGTGTCTTTCCATCTTTTTCTGTCACTCTGTGCATTAATATTAACCTAACTCAGAGGGATACTATGAGGATATTAATGCTTATAAAGTACTGGCTTGAAAGGTGCTATGTAAGTGTTAAGTACAATTACATAACACCTATATAATGCAGTCATTTGTAACAGATTTGAGTCTGACAATTAATTGCCATTTTCACAGGGAGCACAGGGAGCCATTTTCACAGGGAGCAAGAATCTTGAAATTTGTTACGTACTGTGGCTCTTTATGGGCTGCAAATTTAAACTTTGACCTTTCAATTTCAGGTCATCAGAAGCTCATCACTCTTTCTATGGATTTCAAGTGCCCTTTGAGCTACAATGTTTGAAAGTGAGCCCTTATGAGCTAGAATCTTGCAAATTGGTAGAACTCATTATTTTGTACCACTGATTAAAGAAAAATAATTTTTAAATTTGACATTTCTATCACAGATCACCACACTATTTCCTCAGAAATTATTAATTTCTTCCATTACACTGTCATGTTAGGAATAAGGCCTCCAAGTTTAGAGTAACTAAGGTAATCTTAGTTCCTAAGGTCCACAGTTCTATTTAACTTATTTTAGTAAAAAACAAACAAACAAAAACCAAAACCCTGTGGAAGACAACTGAGCGCACCTGCAAGCTCTTACAGTGGCAGCTATGTGAACCAAAAGGGTGGACTGATGCCAATAGCAGCAGCATCTGGTCTTCTTTGTACATCCTACTGGGATTTTAAGAAAACGAGCACTTGCTTTGCATTAAGCAACTAACTAAGATAGCAACTTTGAGTTTTAAAGATGCTAATTTAAATAGAGAATTCTATACTGGGGCATATGTATCAAAATTGCATTGTCTGAGGTACTGTAACTAATGACTCAGTACAGAATGTTCTTGACATTTTGATTTCATTCACCCCCCTTTGCTTGAAGAGGTACCACTAATCATACCCCTTGCTGTCTTATCGATGTGATCCACACCAAGGCCCCATGCCTCCAAGCTAATTGTATTTGTTTCATTCCATTTATTTACAACAGGACAATAAAGATGCTAATTATTTTTACATGTGCCAATTTTTAGTAGTCAGTAGCAACACAATTAACTGTTATACTACAGCAACTGCATCAAGGCCAATTCAGCCTGAGCTGTTCAGCCTGGATCTTCAGGGGACCCTATGTCATGAGAGTCCCTCTCTATCAGGCACAAGCTGAGAAATCTCATTGTGATAGTCACTGCTTATGACACAAAGCAGCAGGACACTGACTCACAGCTCTGTGGTGATATATTGAGACCCCTAGGGAATAAAGATGTTTCTCCTTTATTGCAACCCATTTGAGCAGATCACAGGTTTATTCCTCTTCATCTTTGAGGAAACCTCCACCTACTGTTCCCATAACTCCCCCCTCAAACACATACACACTTGTTCTACAATATAATAACTTATACAGATGATAGAAAAAGAGTGTTTGTGTTTTTGTTCTTGGATATATTCCTGATTACCCTCACCTCCCCACATGGCTGTCAATCCATCCTCCTGTACTTAGTATAGTGGTCTGAGGCAGTTGTGAAGGTGAACCATATTACATGCTAAATCTTGTCTTGCTGTGAGTGATCCAAACAAACAGCTTCACAAAGGCCCCAGATTTATTTGAAATGGACCTGAGCAACATCCTTTCCTAGAACTAGTAGGATGTCTAATTTCTTATGGATTTCTGCATGTTTCATTTACTGGATTCAAATGCATCCAGGACACTACCACAAGTTAATAAATAAAATAATATTGAGAAAATGGTAGTCCTTCTGTAATTTAATGATGTAATTTTGTTTGCAAAGCTGAAGCAAACATACAGGTACCGGTACTATTTTATAACTATTGGGGGACATGGCTACACAAGAAACTTCAAAGCGCTGTCACACCCCTGAGCCAGCAAGTTAGAGCGTTATAAAATGTAAGTGTAGACAAGCTCTAAGCTTCTTTGCATTACTTTATTAAAGTAATGCATGGACTTTGTTCCAAGGAATAAGAATGTTTGATAAAAGAGGGCTGTGATTTTGGATGTTATATGATTGTATAACAGAAGATTTTGTTTAATTCTTGCGGATTTCAACCACCAACATCCAATCGCCTGTACATTTACTGGAAAGCTAGAGACTTTCTTCTCAGCGGACCATGCCCCACCATTATATTTATTATTTGTATGTGGTAGCACGTAGAGGCCCTGGCACCATTGTATTAGGCACTGTATGAATATATAATAAGAAGATGTTTTCTGACCCAAAGGATGACTTTTTCAAATGTTCATCAATTTCTTCAGGGACTATTTTAGAATGTCTGCTGTTTTCTTTCATTGTCCAAAGAAGTCATGATATTAATTTCCCAAATGTGACCATAGTGTGTTTGTGTGTGTGTCTGTCTCTCTCTCTCTCGATATATACACATCATATTTGTCATGGACTTGCTACTAGAGTTAGTCAGAATTTTCTTTCCTCCTTGCATCTGGTCAATTTTTCCTTATTCTAGCAGATGTGAAGAAAAACCAAATGTAGACTGTTGTTCACCTTTAGGAAGAACTATACAGAAATATTTGGAAGGGCCAGATCAGATGGCTACCTACCATTTTGTTCTCTCTGGACTCCAGCAGCAAGCAAATCTGGCTCCCCAAGGCTTATATCATTTAGCCTGGTTCCTAGACACTCTATGCAAAGATGTTTGCACCACTCCTCTGCCTCCAGTTCTGAAAATAACCATAAACAAAGAATCAGTGGAATTCATGAAATATTTTACTCAAAAGAAGGTACAACATGAAATAAGTCTTTGATCAACAAGCTATTTTTATGATTGAGTTAGGACTAATAACTTCTGTTTCAAAACCAGCAAAAAACAAACAAAAAAATCCCACACACACTGTTTTGCCTTGATTTGTGGACCTTTTCTAAAAAAAGAATCGGACCATGGCTCCTGAATTGATTAGAAATAGGTGAAAAGTGTAAAAAAGCTCATTTTGCTAGAAATCAACTCACACACCCAGGACCGCCTCCAACTTTTCCCAGTTGCAAAACTTTCTCTGTGTGGGTGACTGGGTGGGGGAAGGCTGTTCAGAAAGTATCTTTCAGCAAATCCTGCTTGATGGAAATAATTTAATTTAAAAACGATTTTAATGTAAAGTTATCTGAAAAGAAACATTATTGTTGCTTTAAATCCATCTTGATTATTAAGATTAACTGGGTTGCTTTTGCTTACAGTCCCTAGATATCAATATGATGGAAACTAAGAGAATGGAGCAAACTCAACTCTAGAACTCACATCCTTATTTGTCTGATAAAGTCCAAGTTTAATGTCGTTTATAGCACCATATAGTGGCTGTCATTTTTCCTGAGGTAATTTATTTTGTCAAAAATATACGTTTTCTTACAGTACTGAACTGTTCCAGCACCCAGAGGTTCAACAATGGGTTTGTCTTATAAATTTAACAGTAAATAAGACAGATCTGTGAGGTGATGGTAAATGTAAAGCCATTCTGCCTCTCGAACAAACATCTAAAAGAGAAAAAGAAATGTGCACAAATCAATACTGTGTTCATGAATCCAGCCTAATGTCACTATAGTTAAAGGAGGACTTTTACGGAAAAACTTTGAAAGCAGTGAGTAAATTCTTAAGCCACATGTCTCCTGAAGTCAAATTCATGACAGGTGGAAAAAACACAACCCCACTGAAAGGAAACATGCAGTTTTCTTGTGAATGCTCCTTGTCAATCTTCTTTATCAACAAGGCATTTCTAGACTCTGAAGGTTGGGATCCAGATTCAAAATTTCCAAATAGCGGGGTTTAGTTTGAGCCAATCTCTAGCTGCAACCCACTATGGTAATCAGATTCAGTTCATTCCTTGATTGTAGCTATTACTGCAAGTTGTTATGCCTCAGTGCTGATTAACTTCGACTGTACCCCCACAAAATCAGGCAAAGCCAAGGGAAAGCAACTCATGTAGAAAATCCCTCTCGGAAGAAATATATTGTAATATGAAAAACTATTTAGTGAATCAAATCAACATAATGGGAGGCACAGTCAATAGAGAGCCAACGAGTAACTGAAATCTGAACGTATATTGTCAATGCTGAAAGTATACTTTTAATAGTTTAAATTTGGAAACTTTTTGGAAAGTATAAAATATATGGAAATATATGAATCATGAACTTATAGACAAATATTTGAAGAATATATTATACTTACATAAACCTCGGCCAAAAACAAATTTTATTGATTTAGGTAAACTGTTACCACTAATTAATAAGATTTTTATACCACTAAATAAAGGAAAATACTAAAGTTATGATGACATCAGGCTGTAGTCACATTTGTCATATTGTAAGTGTATAAACCATGTTTACCTGTTACAAAAACTAACAATTTAATACCATATAAATATATATTTTCCATTATGGAAATGACTCTGTTGTTGGACTGAACAGCTTCTGCAAGACTGAAGGGCTGCATGCGCACTTCCAGAAGCACAAATGGATTGTCTACTAAGGTGCTGTTTCAGTTTATGCACTCCTAGTACTTTTTGGGTGCACAGGATTGCCTAGGTGGAGCTTTCCCCTTGACACACACACTCTGAAATAACGTTTTTTAAATGGCTACACTCCCTTTGAATCTACTACCACATTCCCTCTTATAACACATGGATGTACTAGGGGAGTTGTAGTAAATTCCTTTTCCGCATCTGCAGAATACCAAACCAGTGCAATTTAGATTAGAATTAGGGCTGTCAAGTGATTAAAAAAATTAATCGCGATTAATAGCCTGATTTAAAAAATTAATTGTGATTAACTACACGATTAATCGTGCTGTTAAACAATAATAGAATACCATTTATTTAAAATGTCTAGATTTTCAAATATATTGATTTCAATTACAACACAGAATATAAAGTGTACAGTGCTCACATTTTTATTACAAATATTTGCACTGTAAAAAAACAAAATAAATAGTATTTTTCAATTCACCTAATACAAATACTGTAGTTCAAACTCTGTCATGAAAGTTTAACTTACAAACGTAGAATTATGTACAAAAAAAACTGCATTCAAAAATAAAACAATGTAGAACTTTAGAGCCTACAAGTCCACTCAGTCCTACTTCTTGTTCAGTCAATTGCTAAGACATATAAGTTTGTTTACATTTAGGGGAGATACTGCTGCCCACTTCTTGTTTACAATGTCACCTGAAAGTGAGAACAGGCATTCGCATGGCACCATTGTAGCCGGCGTCACAAGATATTTACATGCCAGATATGCTAAACATTCATATGTCCCTTCATCTTCAACCACCATTATAGAGGACATGTGCTCATGCTGATAATGGGTTATGCTCGATAACGATCCATGGACTAATGCATGTTCATTTTCATCTCAGTCAGATGCCACCAGCAGAAGGTTGATTTTCTTTTTTGGTGGTTCGGGTTCTGTAGTTTCCACATCGGATTGTTGCTCTTTTAAGACTTCTGAAAGTATGCTCCACACCTTGTCCCTCTCAGATTTTGGAAGGCACTTCAGATTCTTAAACCTTGGGTCGAGTGCTCTAGCTAGATTTTAGAAATGTCACATTGGTACGTTCTTTGTGTTTTGTCAAATCTGCTGTGAAAGTGTTCTTAAAACAAACATGTGCTGGGTCATCATCCGAGACTGCTATAACATTAAATATACAGCAGAATGAGGGTAAAACAGAACAGGAGACATACAATTCTCCTCTAAGGAGTTCAGTCACAAATTTAATTAACGCATTATTTTTTTTTATAAGCGTCATCAGCATGGAAGCATGTCCTCTGGAATGGTGGCCGAAGCATGAAGGGGCATACGAATATTTAGCATATCTGGCATGTAAATACCTTGCGATGCCGGCTACAAAAGTGCCATGTGAAAGCCTGTTCTCACTTTCAGGTGACATTATAAATAAAAAGCAGGCAGCAGTATCTCCCATAAATGTAAAGAAATTTATTTGTCTTAGCAATTGACTGAACAAGAAGTAGGACTGAGTGGACTTGTAGGCTCTAAAGTTCTACATTGTTTTGTTTTTGAGTGCAGTTATATAACCAAAAAAATCTACATTTGTAAGTTACCTTCATGATTAAGAGATTGCACTACAGTACTTGTATGAGGTGAATAGAAAAATACTATTTCTTTTGTTTATCATTTTTACAGTTCAAATATTTGTAATAAAAATAATAATATAAAGTGAGCACTGTACACTTTGTATTCTGTGTTGCAATAGAAATCAATATGTATGAAAATGTAGAAAAACATACAAAAATATTTCATCAATTTTAATTAGTATTCTATTGTTTAATAGTGCGATTAATTGTGATTAATTGTTTTGAGCTAACTGCATGAGTTAACCGTGATTAATTGACAACCCTAATTAGAATGCTTTGAGTTGCTCAGTAACTGACACCAAGTTTGTTACCTATGACATTAACAGTGCTCAACTTTAAGAATCAACAAATTGGCATGCCACAGCCTCTGAAGTGCCACATTTTTTTTTTTTTTTTAAATTCCAAGTACAGGGAAATTCTGAAGTATCTGACCTATTCCGGTGGATCCAATCCTGCTTCCATGGAAATCAGTGGCAAAGTATTCATTGACTTCAGTGGAATCTGGATTAGATTCTATGTATTAACTATTGATAAGGGTTAACTTTTTAATGGCAATCACTGTGTGGCACGGCAGAACTTAGCCCGCTTTTACGCCTTTATGCCATACGTTGTAAGGCATATTTTAAGCAGCCATAAATACTCTCAAAATATTCACATCTTCATTTCCTCTAATTTCCTCTAATTTTGCTCTGCTATATGAATATCAAAAGGTGAGATCAAATGTAAAGAGACAAGTGGCCCCAATTTGACACTGCTTCTTGCAAGAGAAATGTAACTAGCAGCAGCCTAAAGTCAGTTCTTCTGAAAAATACAATCTTGTTAGTTGCAAGATTTTTAGGCAGGTTTCCCTGCAGTTTTCCCTGAGCTTCCAGGTCAGTGGCTGAAGGAATATGCCATTTCTGCTGTAGCTCACAGTTCAGTACCTGCTGCAGTTACATAAGGTGAATTTTGTTTCTCTGTATCCTGATTCACAAAAGCCCAGTGCCATGTCTCAGGAATCCAGTACTTCAGGTTAAATTGAAAATGCATATTGTACAGCCTTATAGGCATCAATACTAAAGAATCACAAAGGGCCTCCAAAGTGTTGGGCACACACAACCACCACTAACTGGAAGACGCGAGATCAGATCCAGTCCAGTAACAACACACAAATGGCTCAGTAGATTTTGTACTGAATTGAAATAAAGATGAGGAAGCCTGTTCCCCGCTCTTGTATGAAATTGTCAGTTGTATGGAGATAAAAGAGCCTTTTCCTTCTACATAATATGAATGTGGTTTATTTCTTTGTGCTTTCCCTGATGCCTGCCTATGTCTAGCTACACAGACCTAAAATGGCTGGATCTTTGACTTGGAACCAATTTCTACATATTTCTCACAAAAAGTTATTTCTGCTACCATTGCTCTCCCAGAACTGTTTGTAAGAATTCCAAAACCCATTTGGATTTTCTCATTCAGAATAAGACTGGAAACAAAATTGGATCATTCAAACCTGGACCTGCAAGATCTTTTTGGAGAAGAAAGATGGGAGCTGAAGAAACACACATGCCAATGTTTACAAAAATATACACAGCTATAATAAGAAGTCT